CCTATTTGATTTGATTCTAGTGAACACCTGGTATAAAATTGTCTGTGTGGTTATTCCGAAGTGCCTAATTGAAGCTAAAACTGTTCTCATCAGTCAAAGAATATGAACTGAATATATCATTACGTAGGGGTTTCATGTAATAGAACACAGCTTCCCTGAAATTCCCAATGAGTATTTATTCGTAGTTATCTGCCATTACGAGATTATTCCAGATGGTCTCAAAGTCTACTCTGGGTTGCTAACAAAAGAAATGGAAATAGGAAAACTGTTCACATACCTTTCAAATAAATGTAATTCCTCGACTGTCAACTGCGGCTGATCACTTTCATGACTTCCTTTAAAACCTTTTGCAAGGAGTGGAAGTGATACGTATCCAATGATGACGTCATATTCTTGTCTAAAAATTGTTTCACTAAATGTGAATTGAACATTTAACATGTAGCTCAGTAATAATTATATTAGGCATTCAGTTTGTATAATTATTATTACAGTTATATTCACAATTTTCCTTTATAAGATAAAAGGATAATTAGTTAAACGAAATGTGATTCGTTCAAATCGTGGAAGATATTGATTTCAATAACTGAGATAACGATAACAGCGGTTAAAAAGATTATGAATAGTGATGTCGTCAGTAACTGCCACAATCGCCTGAATATTGTCATATTCTCATAGACACCTTCTTCGTAGGTTCTGAGGAACTATCTGGTGTACACTCTGGTTAACATAGTAATTAAAAAAACTTCACGAGCAGAATTCAAGACAAAAGCTTAAAATCGTCCCTTAAATATTCATTGGTTTGTTGTCATTCGAAATTCTAATAGTTTCTCCTCCTGCATACTATCATTTCTAGTAATTGTTTTGTTTCCAAGATCCAATACAGTTATGAGTGAACCGTATGAAACTAATTTTGCTTACTGGAACGTTTCTCCTATGTAGATGAAGCCTGATCCACTTTTCCGAATGACTAAAGTGAAGACGAAGTTAGCATGTACTAATGAATGACTTTAGAAGTTGAAATCCTCTCGACTTCGTGATGAAGTTCCTTTACGGAGTTTTCCACGCCTGACCCGACTTCTTTTTAAAGACTCAGGATCAACCAGCAAACTAAAGTCCATCGTTCTCACCCATAGAAGAATTCTAGAGAAAGGCACTCCCTTCATGTGCTCAATTAACATAGTTTCAACTGCCCATGGCTCAGATAAAGACTTGATTAATTTATTACACTCAACATTTTACTGTTATTATTATCACAATTTATCCTGAGAGTTTTCTCGGCTGCCGCAGTCACTTTTTCACCCTTGAGGTAGCATCAAGAATTCACTCAACAGTTTTAAAACAAATGCACGCTGAATGAGACAGATTACGGTGAAGATAAATTCTGTATTAAATGTTCCTGCCCAGTCATGTCAAGGCTGTAAGTTTACTGAATGGAAATGAATAATAGTCCTCATGGCGGATTGTCAGACGGCACATATGAAGATGGTAACGCCGGAGAAGATAGAATAAGCCAGAATGGCATTCATGACTGTGATGTCAATGTGAAAGTTGGCTGCACTCAGCTTATGATCCAAATATTGGATCTTCAAAATTGCTTTTATACGGTTCAGAGACTTATAATGATGAAGCCATTTACAACACCTAACATTTCTGTCTCCATAGCAAAGCTCAAGTGATGGAAATGGCTGCATAACAAGAAAATTTACCCATAAACCAATAAGGAACCTATTTTATAAATAATATACTGAAAAACGAAGATAAATAGGAAAGCTGCTGAGGAGATGACTGAGCGATATCTCTTGCGTTTATGCCTGGTGAGACGGATTAGAAAACGACTAGTTCGCCGTCTGTGGATGTTATGAAGAAGGTCGTCTAAGGAGTAAGAAAATTAAACTTATAAGATTTCGTAGAGCCAGCTCGAGACTACGTTAGAGAGCGGAGTTAAATAGCCATGTTATGCTGAAACCTTATGCTGCACTCAAAGTATTACTAAATATCGCTTTCACAAAAGTTCACATGATCAGTCTGAGAGTTTGAATAATTTTGTGTGGTATATTAACTGTGATTTCTCCTAGCTTTTTCATAAATTGACGTTTGTAGAACACCTACCTTATTCTACTTCCTCATGTAAACATCATTTAAAATGAGAGAGAGAGAGGGTTAGTCGCTTGTTTATAAAAACGCAGAATTAAAGGAAACAGCGGTTCACCCTGGATGAGATTTTGTTTTCCTGACTTTTTAAAGGCAATAAACCATGTTCAATATTCAATTCAAATGATTTATTTCAATCAGACAGAAAACAGTCACTTGCTAAATTGAAGAAAACAAAATGTTGTTCAGTTTGTTTTTGATGATTGTGTGTGTGTGTGTGTGTTAGATGGAGGCATTCCCCTTGTCACGATAAGATCTCTTTTACATGTTGTCGGCTAAAACGTTCAATTACACAAACGTTTTCTGTGAATAAATTAAATAAAACTAAACTAAATCAATGAAATGGAAAAAAGCATTCTGAATAGAGGACTTCATCTAAGACAATGAAATCATCGCGTTCCACTGCCTTCTTAGTGAAACGTAAGGCTTCAAGCAGTGACATTTCAGCAATAGTTGTTGTTAGCCCGTTAATACTGCACTCGACTGACTCCTGAACTCATGATAGAAGTGGTTGAAATCCATATTGACTGACACTCAACACCCCCACAGTTCACACCTATCCTCTTGGATTTCAAAAGTCAGGAGTAGAAGTCATTATTAATGATAGGCAATACGCCTTTAAAAATACGTGCAAAGCCCACCGATACCATATTTGGTCCACCTTTCGTGTGGTAGAAGTAATGCCAAGTGCAAAACCTACGACCTACCATGGTATTTGCAAAATAATTGGCTTTGTTATTCTCTCCTGTTTGTAATCTCCTTTCTTTGGCAGTTTGGATAAGAGAGATTATAAATAGGTGTGAATAAGAAACCCAATTATTTTGCTAACAACACAGTTGGTCGTAGGTTTTGCACTTAACATTATGTCTATTACACAGGAGGTGGAACAGGTATGACGAGGATATTTAGGCGAAAATCGGAAAAGGAAATCAAGCTTTCATTTGTCTCAAGTTTGTGTGGAGGTCAACAGCACTCAGCATGAAAAATAAGATCCGGGTTTTCAATTTCAAAGTGGAGTCACTGCTATTATACGGATTGGAGACTTAACGACTCGTGAAGAACACTTCAATCAAAATGCTGACATTCATCGACATGTCTCCACTCCATAGTACGCAAGATCAGACAGTCAATTAGAAAAGATTAGCAAGAGGGATTTATGGAAGCTAACCAACGAGGAACCGATTGTGCAACAAATATGAAGGAAGATTTGCAGTGAGAAGACAAACCACCAAGTGAGTGATATCACACATCAGGCCGTCGCTCGAGTGGAACCCCAATTGGAAGCGGTAACTTATTTGTTCGTCAGTGCAAGGGTGACATGGACGATGGGGTCATGTGGGCAGACGTGGAGCCAGGTAAAAATGTTGGCGAAGAACCGAAAGCGATGGGCACGTGCAGCTGAAGAACTATGTCGCTCTAGGAAACAAAGGAGACAGAAATAATAATTTGTAATCTACGGCGACAATATTTCAAATATCTTTCAATTTTAGCTGTTAACATAACTATCGTTATTTTACACTTTTTGTACAGTTTCGACATTATTGTCACTGCGAATACCAAAAAATCTGCCAATATAAATCTTGTAATAGTGCTTCTGTTTTTCGTTTCTGCTGGTGTAGAGTAGATTAGCTGCGACATTGTACCACCAAATGCTGGGCATTCCACACTGTATCAGCCATCAGTCATGTTTTTGAATTAAGTAAATTAATAATAATTTTTGATAGACTGAACGACTTTGAATCAGAAACAATTAAGAATCTTTTATGACTTCTGATTTCAGTTTAGTGAATTTTCAATGTTTCGATAAACACTTGAGGAATCCTCAAGTGGAATACACTTTTCTTTTCACATGTTCCATAATGATAATGGCTTGTTTATATATTGAAATTTCTACTGATATCCAGTTCTCCTATTTAGCTTGATTCTAATAAACACCTGGTATAAAATGTTTCTGTGTGTTTATTCCGAGGTGCCTAATTGAAGCTAAAACTGTTCTCATGACTCAAACGTATATGATCTGTTTATATTATGACGTAGGAGTTTCATGCAATTGAACAATGGATTTATACTGCGTAGCTGTGCATCTTCTTGCAGTGCTTCTATGTACATGAAATGGTGTTCATGAAGAGATGATATACAAACATTAAGGTGTACACAATGTAAGAAACGAATGAATCTTCGGAATAGTAAGTTACAAAGTCGGTTCGTTGTTCTCTTGCGATTCTCTTTTCAACATCAAAACTGCTGTTGAAAAATATCCTCTCAATGTACCATTACTGGATATTGAATGCTGGAGTGGTTGTGCAGTGTTTCAAGAATCGCAGAGGTGTAGCGTATTATAAGGTGAGTATTGTCACACAGCTGTTAGATGGCGTTGGTGTGACTGTTCAATACCGTTGACACGGAACTTCAGAAGTAAATTCTGGATGTTATTCCAAAGCATAGTGCCGACACACTATTCACAATTACTAATGGGCAGCAAACAACCGCTCACCAGATTTCGGATATATCCATCACCGAATGGGAAACATCTTGATGGTTTTGTTGAATCCATAATTAGCACTCATACCAGTTCAATTAATGACTTCAGAAATAAATCGAAATAAAAAGACCAAAAGATGGCTGGTGAAATGAACCCGTAATATCTGTTTACATCACACTAGAAACAAGCTACTGCAAGAAAATTAGATAGTCGATGATCAGACAAACCCACCAAAATGAAGCCGAGAGTAGTATTTACTAAATTTCACTATCACTTTTATGTATTAGTTGATTCTAATGATCATGTCTTGTTATTATTCTCCCTAAAATTTTAAAACTACAACTCTTTTTTATTTCATATTTTACAGACAAATTGATTAGGGATTCGGCGGACCGATCTCAGTCAAACAAGTACACATTCCCCGCTTTCTTTTTATCAAAGTGTTGTGTAACTTCAAATGATGACGAACAAATCATCGCTCCACCCAACTCCACATATTCCTGTTGTGAATTTGAAGTCAACTGGGGTTGTTGTATTTACAAGACTGAGTGTCAGTCTCGATGTTTTACAAAACCCTCGAACATATCTCCAGCTGCAACCAACATGGAGCTAGAGAGGCTTAAAAATTATTCCAGTAGTGATATGGATGGTAATTCTGTCAATGTGATCGAAGATTCTCCCAGAAAGATTCAGAAAAATCCCACTATATGCATAAATAATTACTCCATGACGAAACCGCTTGTAGATCAATGTGAAACTTCGTCGATTTCTCGAAATTCGACGCGACAATCATTTAATCGTGATCATTTATACACTGAGGTACACAAAAATAGTGAATACACAAAGTCGAATTCCTCGCTGTCAATGACAGGACCACCAACCGATTTTCGAAGCTTGTCAACATCCCCACCAGCATCTCCACCAAAGATCATCACAGAAAATGATAACTGTACACTAGAACATACAAATTGGCGTATTTTTTGTTTTTTAACACAAATTTTAGCATTTGCTCAAATCGGTTATTTGATATTTGAAAACCTCCTACCATGGATATCAAATTTACTAATCCTCTATCTTGGTTTTGGTTTGAAATTGAAACTAAATATCAACTGCCGACTAAAACGTATGTTCGGTGCATTTTTCTTGTTATTCGAAGAATGGAGCCTGCTGCTATTCGGTATTGAACGTGTATGCAAAGTGCTGTTCAGTGTACATTCCGTCAACCGGAGCTGTCATCCAACAAACTTTTGTCTCATCGAGCATAACCGATGTAAACTGCATTCATTATGCCTGAAAATCAGTACAGGATTATTTATAGCGTTAATCTTTGCTGCCTTGTGTAACTATCTATGGGTGTTTGGTCAGTTTCACTGGATCAACACTGTGAAATATGTCGACTCAACAAAGAATATCACTCAAGTGGAAACTGTCAGTTGTGATGTCAGATCAGAGTATTTCAGATTCTATTATACCTTTTTAATTTACATGGACCCCTTGTTCACTTTTATTATTCCACATCTGTGTTGCATCTCCTTCTCTATCATTATCCTACTCCATTGTTGCCTTAAACCATTCTGTCAAAGACCGGCTACCACGCCGAATACCACCAACACTTCTAATACTACTACTACTACGGTAGTGGGAAGCAATTCTGTGGATGGAGTACGTTTACAGATGGTGCCCAGATCGAATTTAAATCGTGTGTATAATTTAATTGATTATATGAGTACAACAGTATTTCTAATTGACTGTATGTTAATTGTAACATTGAAATTTTGGCGGAATATTGAAAAAACAATGATGGTATTTTTCCATATCACATTGGATACAAATTATTTCATGATTAGAAATGAACTGTATCATCTTGTCTTCTGCCTGGTACCAATGACTACAATCTCCATGTATGTTGTATTTTATTATAAAATCAAAAAGTGTTTTCGATCACGTCAAAGATCGTTAGATATTTGACTAACTACTTTCGTGTGTGTGTGTGTATGTGTGTGCGCACGTGAGTTGTTTGCATAATAACGAGAACTTTTAGGACAAAGTAGAATTTTCAGTGGAATTTGTGGAGCATCCTCGTATTTCGTTCCAATATACATACGTCTTCTGAACTGATGTAAGAATACGGATGTATTTTCTATGTCGTACACTGTAACTTGTTAGTGTTTTGTAAATAAACCATGTTGGCTTGGATTTCTAATTTAACTTACAATGATTGACAAGGAATAATTTGTGTGTACTACGTTAATTATTGTCATTATTCTCCTGAGTTGTGGTTGCGAAACAGGGTTCTGATAGATAATCCATTCTTTGTCATATTTTCTGTGTTCCTCTCCACCTGGCCTCATGACTGTCCATAGTCTGTCACCTTCTACTAGCACAATCTCCTTCATATCATACTTGGACTTTAAATTCATCGTTCCTGCTTCAAGCTTCACTCGATCAGTGTTTTGAAGAGCAATATTACTCGACGTATTCCCCACCGAGTGTGTACCCTACCTCCATTTTCTTCGGCGTATATTTTGAGCCATCTGCATTGGCAATTTAATAGCAGAACGGTCGTCAGTCATATAGGACAATCGGAAGGAATTTCCATCTTACTCAATCTTATATCTCGTCCAATTTACTAAGCGATAGTAATTCAAAAGCTTTGGAGGTCTGGAAGTCGGAATACCAGTCTTATAGCGTGGAAAAGTATACCAGTTCTAAAATTGAAAGGGTTAAACCTCTTCCTATCACTTTGAAAACAAGGAATGAACAAAGAATCTTTTGTATGAATGATCTTTGATTATAGGTAACTTCGTTTCAGTGAATGCTTGAAGTGGTCTCTATTGCTGAAATTAAACGTAGTATGTAAGATGAAGGAGTGGGGACACTGGGAAATTTTCGAACTTCAATAACTAGGCCAGTCGGGATAGGATGTACTGTTGCTAATACACTGATGTACATGGATGGTGATGTTAGTCGATATTAAGACAAATGAAAGATAGGGTAGTCCAATGATTCGTTTTCTAATCATTACAAGTTTTGAATGTTCTTGTGTATGATGCATTCGTATTTCATGAAAATGCCTTGTACATCTGACCTGGTGTGGGCGAAATCTCTATTTTCCTAAATCCATCTCTTTGAGAAATTCATCTCATCCCTATTTACCTGTAGTATCGTTACGAAAAAAATACTTTGAATAAGCATTATCTGTACATAATGCGAACAATAGTCTTCTCATCTTGTAACAGATGAAATTAGCTCCTTTAGGTCGTAAAATGAGTCTCCTGGTAAAGTGCTACGGGGAAGTCCAGAGAGTGATATCACTCCTAAGTGTTCATCCGTGGGGTCTGCTTCGCTAACACACACAAGACAAAGCAACTTTGGGATTAATGGAGCACTACGAAAGTACACCACTACCCAACCGTTAAGTTTCAAATAGCACTCAATAGATTGGAATAAAAAACTCTTTATTCAAAACACCATGATAGATAAAGCTATGTGTTGAGTAACTGAGGCTGACAAGCAATAGATCATCTGAAGAATGCTAGTGGAAAACTTTGAAGCTAGTAATGAAAGTAACTGCAACAAATCTGAAGACATGCTTACTGTCATGGAAACTCAAAATTGTTTCCATCGCCGTTTGTGCTTACATCAGCAACTGAAAATCAATTGGCCGGAAAGGATAAGCAACAAGAAAGTATGTCAACCAACCGATCAATCACCTATAGAAAAAATGGAGACGGGTTCAACACGCTGTGCTGTCTGGTGCATTGGCAATACTCTACATGCGGTCACTTGCAACTTGAGTTTGAAACGACAAGTATAGTGTGAGGCCAATCTTGAAGTGGAATAGACTCTGTGAGAAGTCAATGATAGCATGTGAACGGTTGTGGAGACAGCTTCAAATGACTTCAGGTAATGCAGTCGAGTGGCTCTGTTATGCTGAATCCCTTCGCTCGACTCGGAAACAAGGAGTATAATATAATATATAGTATACCATTTAATAGCAGTTATGATCACAGTCATATCGGCTGTCAAGTTTAAATTGAAAAACACTTCACATTTGTGATGATACAAATTACAATACACATCCTTAATTAGATGCTCCTTTATGTAAGGAAATTCCGCGCTTCAGCAACCTGTTATAGACGATATGATTGGTAAAGCAGCATAATTTTGCTTCAGTAATCCACTTCAAAGCAGTCATTCGTTTTTAGTAATCACAGCAGTTGAAAGACAAAACAATTATTCTTATAAGAGTTATCAGTAGTATATTGGATGCCTATATCCTACTCTTCTCTCTACCTTTGGGAATGGTTTGGTCAGTAAACTCTGTTTCTTCAATAACATGATCATCAGGGAAATGAAATCCAATTTACATAAACTAATGCTGAAAGATATGCAAGTGAAAAGTAACAAGTTGGCAGAAGAAGCATCAAAGATAGGACTTCACGTGAACATAGATAAAACAGAGGTGATGAAGATTCCTAGCCAACATCACCAGCAGCAACAACAACAGACAACAATCAGCATAAGTGGGAAGAACCTGAAAGAAACAACCTTCAAAGTTTTCCACTAGCTTTCTTCAGATGATCTATTGCTTGTCAACCTTCACCTACCTGGGAAGCATCGTCTCAACTACAGGCGGAACTGACGAGGATATCAAAGCCTGAATCGGAAAAGCAAGACAAGCGTTCATTACTCTCAAATCTGTGTGGAGGTCAACAGCACTCAGCATCAAAAATAAGATCCGGATTTTCAACTTCAATGTAAAGTCAGTGCTACTATACGGATCAGAGACTTGGCGAGTCATAAAGAGCATCTCAAACAAACTTCAGACCTTCATTAACAGCTGTCTCCGCTCAATACTCAAGATCAGATGGCCAGAAAAGATCAGCAACAGGGATCTCTGGGAGCGAACCAATCAGGAACCGATTGTGAAACAAATAGGCAGAAAGAAATGGAGATGGATTGGCCATACTCTGAGGAAACCATCAAATGACATCACTAGACAAGCCATTGCTCGAGTGGAACCCGAAAGGGAGGCGGCGAGTTGGTCGTCCAAGGGTGACTTGGAGGAGGTCATGCGAGGAGGAGATGAAAGCATGTGGACAGACCTGGAGCAGGGTAAAAAAGTTGTCAGAAAACCGAAGGCAATAAAGGTGCGCAGCTGAAGCCCTATGTTCCTCTAGGAACTAAAGGATACAATAATAATAATGCTGAAAGAAACTTACAAATTCAGCATCATGGATTCCGCCACTAGTGATAATCAACCACGTTCTGTTGGCTTGAATCAAAAACACCTTTTGGCTTTATTTTTAATAATTTTAAAAAAAGTACATTCGACTGTTATTCTCGTCACCTCATAGTCGCTTATCGAGAACCTAGGGCTATCGGTTGCTTCTTGTTTTTCACCACAGAAACAATGAGGCTATTACCTCTTTTATCAGATGGAATCACGTATGAGAAACATTTTATAACACAATCAGTTAAGATTCCGTATTAAAAGCATTCTCTATTGAAATTTTGACAGCCACATACATACTTACAGATGTGTTAGGGTGGGAGCCAAAATTTCCAAAAATCGAGTGTAAATCAAAATCCATGGGATTTTATTTTATCGCCTTATTGGATGGAATATTTCTTCTTGAAAAAATAAATTATTATTTCAATTTTTCCTCTTTTTATTCTCTTAAAAAACAGGAAATTAATTCTATTTCTGTTTAACGTTTGAATGAATCCATCTGTTGTTCGCCGCCAGGGTGGTGTGTCTTTTTCAACAATACTACCGACTATAATGCTTTGTTAACAAGCCATACGGTATCATATATATATATATATACATACATATATGTGTCTAATCGCGACAAATGTAATTTCTCAATGAAAGAAAACTATTATTTTTACATTCCCATTGCTTGAGTACGGAAATATAAAACGAAAGTACATTAGTCTAGCCTTGGCGAGTAATTCTTTCCTTCTTCATATGAAAGGTGAATTCAAGATTGATTATCGACTGATTTCAATCAAAGAACCACTGTAAACGAGGGAATAATGTACATTTCTTTTGCTTCAGTTTGAAGGCCTTCAGTGGTAAGCACACTCAACTGCACCAGGAATCAAGTCAAGGATATTCAGGTGAAACGGAAAGCCTGCTGACTAATAAGCCAATGAGATGAAATCGAATGATGCATTACTTTCAACTTCCGTTAATTCGACCACTGATGAGGCAACTGCTGCGTACTATAAGTGAGTTCCGGACAAAGAATACACGTCTACGCAGTACTTTTCGGTTAGAAATTATTCTCAAACTGAAGTCTATTCGTGATCGACTATATAAATAATCGAATTCTTGAAAGAATACACTTAAAGGAGAAGTCAGTACTCTCCTTAAGGTCTCCGCATAGTTGGATAGCGCTGGTTGCCTGAAGCTGTAAAATATTCATGTTAATAACAGCTATATTATCCTACATAACTTGATACTATATCTCTTCATATAAGCGGATACCCTATTTGGTAGTATGACTACTTGATACTTTTGCCCCTATCTTCATTTTTAAATGTGGTGAGTGATCATGGGCGTACTTCAGTGAGAAATCCGTTGAAAACTAGGGAGTACTGTAGATCTGTTTTGTCCCTCTCCGCCAAAGATCGAATGTAAGAGCTAAAGTTTACCAGTCATCATGTTAACCGTTCATTCAGCAACATGCTTTATTCATGTAAATGGCTACTTCGTCTATCGTAGCTTGGGTAACATTTAGAAATTTCCTATTTTCATCCGTTTCAGAAACGCACTACATGTCAATCCACCTATAGCATAATGACGAAAACAGTGCTCCGAACAGGTTATGTGCATTCATCAATTGAACAGTAGTTTTCGCGTTCACTGACAAATAGAAGACAATTTGTGCACACTGTAACATTACTGTCTCTTATTGAAGTGCAAGATTACGTGGAAGAACATTTATGGAGAAATGGTTCACTGAAAGTCAGCTCCCCTCCCTAACATTCTTCAGTTAGAGCAAATTTGGGAATTTCGTAGAGCTGGATAAGTAGGTTTTCCGGTTTGTGGTTCTTCAATAGTAGATCAGCAAGATACTAGTATCGATTGAATCCAGAATTATTAGAGCATTTACCAACCACGCAATGACTGATTAATTCTGACTTTTGTCAGCACGCAATAGGTATTCGTTGCCATAAAATGCTATTTGCTGGTAACTCTCCCCACACTACTAAGTTCTGTCGCCTTTACTTCCTTGTATTGAGTGTTTTATGCTGGAAAAATGACACGTTTCACCTTCGAAGTTGCCAGATGATGAACCCCTGTATATTATTATTATTGTATCCTTTAGTTCCTAGAGGAACATAGGGCTTCAGCTGCGCACCTTTATTGCCTTCGGTTTTCTGACAACTTTTTTACCCTGCTCCAGGTCTGTCCACATGCTTTCATCTCCTCCTCGCACGACCTCCTCCAAGTCACCTTGGACGACCAACTCGCCGCCTCCCTTTCGGGTTCCACTCGAGGGCTTGTCTAGTGATGTCACTTGATGGTTTCCTCAGAGTATGGCCAATCCATCTCCATTTCTTTCTGCCTATTTGTTTCACAATCGGTTCCTGATTGGTTCGCTCCCAGAGATCCCTGTTGCTGATCTTTTCTGGCCATCTGATCTTGAGTATTGAGCGGAGACAGCTGTTAATGAAGGTCTGAAGTTTGTTTGAGATGCTCTTTATGACTCGCCAAGTCTCTGATCCGTATAGTAGCACTGACTTTACATTGAAGTTGAAAATCCGGATCTTATTTTTGATGCTGAGTGCTGTTGACCTCCACACAGATTTGAGAGTAATGAACGCTTGTCTTGCTTTTCCGATTCAGGCTTTGATATCCTCGTCAGTTCCGCCTGTAGTTGAGACGATGCTTCCCAGGTAGGTGAAGGAGGTTGTTTCTTTCAGGTTCTTCCCACTTATGCTGATTGTTGTCTGTTGTTGTTGTTGCTGTTGATGTTGGCTAGGAATCTTCATCATCTCTGTTTTATCTATGTTCACGTGAAGTCCTATCTTTGATGCTTCTTCTGCCAACTTGTTACTTTTCACTTGCATATCTTCCAGTTTATGGGAAATCAGACATATATCATCGGCGAAATCCAGATCCTCCAAGTCTTTTGTGTCAGTCCATTTTATGCCTGTTCCCTCGTTGGTTGCCGTTGTCTGTCGCATTATCCAATCAATTGCAATCAGGAAGATCATTGGTGATAGTAGACAGCC